TAATAGAATTACATATAACTAATAGAAAAGAACAAACAAGAGTTCAGAGTAAAGAAAAAAAATAAAAGAAATTTAAAAAGACGAAAAAAACCCTCAAAACACAATAAAGGAAAAAAGCAAGCCAGGCGTTGTGGCGTACACCTGTAATCCCAGCACTCAGGAGGCTGAGGCAGGAGGATCACTGTGAGTTCAAGACCAGCATGGGCTACACAGTGAGTTCCTCAGCAATCTGAACTACTTAGTGATACCCTGTCTCAAAAAAACAAAAGAAAAAGGAAAAAAAGGATATGAGTCAAAAAAAAATTCCTGTATGCTTTTGAACCGACGATTTTTGTTCAGAGTCCACAGTATTGGAATCTACCAGATATGAGGGAGAGACAATGAGTCAGTGCTAAGACCTACTCTGTTTACACACGCGCACACACACACACACACTCTCCTGGGTGAATGATGAACCCTGCCTTTTCTTTCTGGCTGGGTGTGGTCTGTAGATAATATGTGCCCCAGAGCTGCAGTCACTCTGGCTATTCTTGGCTTCCTTGTCCCTCTGTGCTTCCCAAGTCATGGCTTCTCCACCTAGCTTTACAGCCTGTGGGTTTGTGAGGTGCCCTCCCCGCTCCGGTGTCCCCTCTGTCCATACACCCCAGGCTATATGTTAGTCCTCATCACAATGGCTGATAGAGAAAGCAAACAGACCACTGAGCTCTGAGCTAGATAAGACAGGAGGGCCAGTCTGCTGGACCTAATGCTAGCACTTTTGGACCCTGCCCTCTCTGAAAGCCCCCACAACCAGCCTTGCTTCTTCTTTCTTCTTTCTTCTTTCTTCTTCTTCTTTCTTCCTCCTCCTCCTCCTCCTCCTGCTCCTCCTCCTCCTTCTTCTTTTCTTCTTCTTCTTCTTCTTCTTCTTCTTCTTCTTCTTCTTCTTCTTCTTTCTTCTTCTTTTCTTCCTCCTCCTCCTCCTCCTCCTCCTCCTTCTTCTTTTCTTCTTCTTCTTCTTCTTCTTCTTCTTCTTCTTCTTCTTCTTCTTCTTCTTCTTCTTCTTCTTCTTCTTCTTCTTCTT